TCCTCACCTGGGGCTCCGGAGCAGCAGGAGGGCTACGGCCGGGCGCCGGGTCCGTTCCCAGCCCCGCTGGCTGACATGGCGGCCGACGAGCTGTCACCGGGCTCACTCGGGTCTCCCGCGGCTCCGGGAACAGACGCCTCCCGCCCGTCCGCCCCGCCTCCCTCTGCGCGCCCCTCCCGGCGGCGGGCGGGCCGGAGGCCCGAGACCGCGGAGCACCGAGCGCGGGCGGCTAGAGAGGCAGTCGCCGAGGGCGGACTACCATAGAGTTCGCGTCCGGACACGCCCGGATGGTCTGTCCCTCCCTGTCGGTCCCCTGATAGGCCTACGGCGGCAGAGAGAGCGGAAGCGGAAGCGGAAGGGAAAACTCGAGCGGTCGGGTGTGCGCGTGCGCAGTTCGCAGGGTTGGTTTCCGCCCGCTCTGGTCCGGTCGCACGTGAGGTCCTCCGCACCCGGAGCACCGAGCCGCGGCCCTAGGCGGTCGCTGGGGCCGACCCCGGGGACGAAGATGTGGGGCCCGGCCGCGGGGCTGCCTCCGCGCCGGGTGCAGTCGGCTCTGGCGGGCGCCGGTCGCTTCTGCCTTTGGAGGCCCGGGGCGGCGACGCGGAGGGCCCGGGCGGCGTGGGGCCTCCGCGGCTTCTCCGACTCGTACCTGCAGCCCCTGCCCTACCTGGACTTCGAGGAGTCCTTCCCCGGGGAGTCCCGGCTCGGCCCCGAGCCCAAGCGCTACATCACCCACCGCGGGCTGGCGCGCACCCTGGGCCAGCTGCTCCTGGGGAGGACGCGGCGCGGCGCGCTCATCCTCGAGTGCAATCCCGGTGAGGGCGGCGGCGGCGCCTCGCCGCGCAGGTCCCCGCGCGCGCAGGCGTTCTGGGGGGCCTGCCCCGACGTGAGCCTCGGGTCTGGCCTCATCCTAGCACCACACTACCCTCACGCCGGGGTGTAACCCCCGCTCTCCCTCCAGTAGCTGTCAGCCCCCCCCACCCCCCGGGAGTTCTGGGCCCGCGCCTCCGGCCGCCACCGCAGGAGGCGGGACGTACGTTTCTGGACTTTTTGAGCCAGTTTTTAAAGCACTTCCCACATAAAGAGCCAGTTCCGACGAGGCTTGCCAATAATTGTTTTGTTTTTGGTATTTGGGATTGAACCCAGAGCCTTCCTCTACTACCTGAGTCATGCCCCAGCAGCCCGATGTCGCTAATTTGCCTCGGTTGCTAGCTTGGCTGGCTTCCGAGTGGCTAGGAATACAATATTCACACCACTCCTGGCCTTGAGTACACCTGACAGCCCGTG